AAAATAAGGATTTTTCATTACCAGAAAAAGCTTGGTCTTCAAGTGGATATACTAAAAGCAAATTGATTCCTTGTAATTGCTACAAGATAGATGTTATAATATCTAAAGGTTCCGTTAGTTAGAAGATGCCTGTCGTTTGATACAAATAATCTGGATGGTGATCTTGTGTTTATGGACAGCTATAGGCAAGAAATATTTGATTTTATTTAGCAAGATATGCATTATACCTATGGCTTATATTTATCTGGGATAATAGGTTTTATTATTTTTCCTTTCCTATGGTATAAAGTGAGACCCCTCATTACAGAGGTTGTGACCTCAAGGCGTTAACTTATTTCATATATATAGGAGAGAAGACTACTGATACATTTCACAGAACACTATGCAGCATGAGAACCCTGACTTTAAAGTTTCACCTCCAAAAGTAAATGTGATTATGGTTTTACGGGACAAGAGTTCAGTCTCCACAGGAATCTGCTCTATAGGTGGGAAAGTTTGTCACCTTTTGGCACACTTCGTGTGCAAATGTTAGGAGCCTTGGGGACTCACTCTTGCTCTGGGCAAATAAATATAGAAAAGAGAACGACAGCTGATGACATCTCCAGTTCTGGCTACAAAATGTCAGACAGGTCTAAATGGCAAAACATGCTGATGTCTATCAATGCTAGTTTATCAATTGATAGAAAGGAGAACTACCCACATGGAAGAATAATATATTTGAAATATATTTTTAAAATATTCTTCCCAAATATATTGACATATATTTGAAATACTACAATTTTGGTCGTATTCAATATATTTCAAAATATATTTCAATATATATATTATTATTATTATTATACAGTATTTATAAAGCGCCAATGGTTCACTCAGCGCTGTACATTACAAAGGGGGACAGAACATGTGACAAAACAATACCAATACAATGCAAAACATGAGGGGATCGAGGGCCCTGCTCTTTCGAGCTTACAATCTAGATATATATATACATATATATATACTGTATATACTGCATGTTGAAATGCGTTTTTAATACAAAATATATAAAAAAATATTTTTAAAAATACATTTCAAATATACTGTATGTCTTTAAAAACACAAAGCTACATTTTTGGAATGCATTTACAAATATATGTAATATATTTTTAAAAAAATATATTTTTCAGATTTTTTTTAATATATAAAAAAGTCATTTTGACATATATTTTTACATATATTTGTATATGCATTCCAAAAACGTAGATCTGTATTTTTAAAGACATACAGTATATTTGAAATGTATTTTTAAAAATATTTTTCATATATTTTGTAATAAAAACATATTTTAACATGCAGTGTGTGTATATATATATATATATATATATATATATATATATGTATGTGTGTGTATATATATATATATACTAGGATTGTAAGCTTGAAAGAGTAGGGCCCTCGAACCTCTCGTATATTGTTTTGTTACTGTATTGTCTCATGTTGTCCCCACTATATTGTACAGCGCTGAGCAAACTTTTTGGCGCTATATAAACACTGTATAATAATAATAATATATATATTTTGAAATATATTGAATATGGCCAAAATTGTAGTATTTCAAATATATGTCAATATATTTAGGAAGAATATTTTTAAAATATATTTTTCTTCCATATGGGTAGCACTTGAGCACATAATCGTAATTATGAACACAGCTTTGCTGGTCATAAGCTTGACATTTTTGCAGCAATTTTACTGTTCATAAGCTTTTAATAAAACAATCAACTGGAGCTGAATTGTCCACACAATCTGCCAACCATTGTAACAACAGTGTTCAAGTTTAGAGTAGGCGAACAAGTTAAATTGCAATGGAAATCAATGGAAGCTACTGTAATGCCAGTTGAAAAGTGTTTACAACTCAATTTTAATCAATTGTCATTGAAACTAGGATGCATTCAAAACAATCAGTAGAAAATTGCTGTGAAGCATTGATTTGATGAGTAAAATGTGTTCAGTGAAAATATGATGGAAAGTTTCAAACACTTGCATGTGCATAGCTAGGAGTACAGTGCCATAAACATGTATGCTTGTATCTTCTGAGGGAATATGTATAGTTTAGTCTTTGAAACCCCCATCTCTTGTGAGAACCTCTGTTAAGGGCTGGGAGAATGAAAGCCATGTAGTCAAGCCTTCCTCTGAGATTGGTTAGCCTTGGAATACCCACAGACTCTAAAGTGTCCCTAGACATCAGTTTAAGTTTCTGAAATTCTGTAATCTTTATTTAAAAAATATATATATATTATATGCCCCAACTTTGTCAGGCATGCATACAAGCACATGGGGCCATGCAAACTACCATTTTGAGTTTCTGCAATGAAGATTCAGCAAAATGGAGTAGCCTGCTGTATACTTTTTTCACTTTGATTTTCAGGGTGTCTTTGAATTCAGTCCTCTGTAGGTTGATAATTTTCATTTCCATCAAACAATGGGGCATCCTTACATTCCTAACACATTAACCAGTTCATATCGGTATAGATATCCAGTATGAGATTTTTCCCCATTGAGATCTGATGTGTTTTCAAAGTGTTCCTTTCATTTTTTTGATCAGTGTATTTGCTGAATCTCTCACCCAAATTTGTAGCAGCGAAAATCTCCATGGCCAGATCTTGGAAGACAACCACGATTCCATTTTAGTTAGTTAAGTCTAAATTGTTGTGGGTTATGATCAATGAATGTCTTTCCACAATTCTAATTGCCAAACTTGCAATATTTGTGAAAACAAGGAAGCCCTAGATTATTTATTTTATGAGTGATGCTTAACCGGTTCCTGCCAGGCTTATAGTCAAATGACACCCGGGCAGGACATTCACCGTTCCAGGTGGACATCACATGACTTTCTCCCGGAATGCACTAAACGGGCACCCCACGGCCATGCTGCAGCGAGACCTGTCACCTACTGTGTCCACCAGATACAGATGACTGATCAATGCACTGGCTGCTGCCGGTACAATGTGTTTGCTGTGACCAATCACAGCAAATCACATGACAATTGTACACAATGGATGGCATTCATTCATGCCATTCACTGTGTACTATTGTGTTGATCTCTGTGCCTGGTCACAGTAATTACATGGTACAGACAGGGCCAACCACAGCCCATATGTACTCCGTGATTTGCTGTAGCCAATCACAGCTAACCACTAGTGTAAACATTGAATTAATCAATTTCATTCAGTAAAAATGGTTGCTTATAACGTGAAATTCACTGGTATAAGCATTCCTAATGTGTAAAAAAAATCCTGATCACTTACCCCAGAGTAGTACAGTGTTACTATGGTAACATAATATTTTTCTGGTCATAGTAATAATTAAAAAATATACTATATATATATATATATATATATATATATATATATATATATTTTTTTTTTTTCTTACATTCTGTCACCAGTCAATGCCCTGATCACCGCAACACCAGTTATATGATGGCGTTGTGCTGCACTGGTGAAAGTATATTTTTTTAGAAATGTGAAAAAAAATTTTTTTAAAATATCTTCATTTCCTAAAAAATTGTGATAAAAAAGTACAACTTCAAAAATACTTGCCATGCCTCTTACTAAATACCTTGGATTGTCTATTTTCCAAACAGGGGTCATTTGGGGATATCAGTACTGTCCTGGTGTTTTCAGGCCTCAAGAACTGAGATCATCATCAGGACTGATCGATTTTCAGATACATATACCATAGTTTTTAGACTCTATAACTTTCCTGCAGACTAAATATTAAACACTGATTTTCATTATTTTCACCAAAGAACTGTAGCAGAATATAGTTTGGCCTAAACTTATGAAGAAAGATTATTTATTTGAAAAAAACGAAAATATGGAAAAATGCTTTTTTTTTTCAAAATTTTCAGTCTTATTTTCGTTTATTTAGCAATAAATAAAAAAAACCCAGTCGTGATTAAATATTACTAAAAGTAGGTTATTTTTGTGTGAAAAAAATTATAAAAATTTCATATGGGTACAATGTTGCATGACAGCGCAATTATCATTCAAAGTGTGACAGCACTGAAAGCTGAAAATTGACCTGGGCAGAAATGGGGCGAAAGTGCCAGGCATTGAAGTGGTTAATTTGTCAAGTCCAAGTACCCCTGGACTGGACGGCTTGACATTTTTTTTTCTATCATTTCCTTTCTCCTTTTATTCTCTTTGTCACATGGACATATGTTCAATGTAACCTAGCGCATTTTGCAAATTTGTATACCCCTTTCTGACCGGTAAAAATTATTGAAGAGAAAATGATATATTGTCCTAATTTATAATAATATGTGAAGTATGATGGGTAGCTAGATAGAAAACTATCAAGAAGCGCTACCCATTTTTTCTGTGATAAAAATATGTGTTAGTCATAATAGAAGATGTTCACTAACAGAATTCAGATGTGATAACTCAAGCATTGTGTGCTTGCAATAAATCAACATGTCATGCTGATAGTTTGCAGCACTGAATCAATAATTTGATCACACTACAATCTGATAAATATAACACCATGTATATTTTATAATTATGGTATTTTAGTATAGCATCTATAATATTGCCCTGCATTTGAAAACCATTACTATTATTGTTGGGGGGAGGAAACCATTAATTCTCTATCATGAAATTCATTTATTTTTGGAGATGGAAAGATGGGAATCAGCAGCTTAAAAATATTGTTCAATGTTCAGCTCATTATGCTAGTAATTAACTCTAAGCAAATAACTTAAATGTTTTTACTGTACAGGTCACATAGATAATTGACCTCTTTGGCTCATTTTTAGTTCATTTTTCGAGGGGCTAAAATGCACACTTGGTACTCTGGGAAACTTTTTCCCAAGACCCCCTACTCAGCCCCATTAGACTTTGAAGTGTGGATGGTGCCAGCAAAGGTGACAATTCACACCTCCGCCTTCAGGATAAAGCTCAGGCAACCAGGGCTTCAGCCAGCATTCTACCACACTCTTTGTAGAGCAGCACATAGACATGGATCTCTGTCCAGCACAACTGCAATTCCAGGAGAACAGACTGATTTCAGAGTGTACTCCCCTTCAGCAATGTGGGTATTCCGATTCTGAAGGCTACAGCAGCCTTTCACCAGCATCCTCCATTGACTCCTTTAGCTTCTCTCCTCCATATCAGTCCTGTGCCTTCTCCGAAGATCCTTGCAGCAGTTTCCAAAAAGGCCTGTCTCTGCCAGAAAACCTGCAAACTAAAGAGAAACAACTACCAACCAAGAAGAGCCACAGGTTGAGAAACAGGACTTTGTCCACCCAAAGGCAGAGTGCCAGCGAGAGGGAAAAGATGAGGATGAGAAATCTGTCTACGGCTCTCCAGCACCTAAGACGATACCTGCCACCTGCAGTGGCCCCAGTTGGCAAGAGCTTGACAAAAATTGAGACATTGCGCCTGACCATTCGCTACATTTCACATCTCTCTGATGTCCTTGGCTTGGACGATGAGACTTTGGAAAAAAGAAGGGAAGAAAGGCTCAGAAGATCCAGATGCCCAGTTGGCCTGAACTGCTGTCAAGGCGAAATGCATGAACTCTGCTCAATGACTAGTGCAGTGGAGCTACAGATCCTCCCTCATTGCATCACTTCTTCAAGAATGTGCCCAACGAGAGAGGAAGGCATGGACACAAACTACTTCTTACCAGCCATACCCTCTCCTCATTTCACAGATCATGGACTTCCTGAAGAGTTAGAAAGCTTCTCGCCATGTGCATTGAGCTCCATTCCAGTCCATACGTCTACAGTGGCAGACCTGAAAGAAGGCATGTCTTCAAACCCTCCAATTTCTCCCGACCTGGGATTTTGTCAGGTATGTAGCAACCATTATTTACCTGAAACCAAATCACAAAACTGGTGTTCTAGTACTGTATAGATGTGTTGAATGATAAACATTAGATCTGTCCGTGCAAGGTCTCAAGCTGTCAAAATAATTCATATATAACCTCAACTGTTTATCAGTCTACATATACAAACATATGTAAGCAATTTGTGTACTGCAAAGCAGCATGTTAGGCAATGCCATTTACGCCAAAGGCTTGTCTTGGGTTCTTGTATGAATAGATATACTTTATTATTATTATTATACAATATTTATATAGCGCCAACAGTTTGCTCAGCGCTGTACATTATAATGGGAGACAGTACACGAGACAGCACAGTAACAATACAATACATGAGGGGTTCGAGGGCCCTGCTCCTTGGAGCTTACAATCTAGGAGGGAGGGGAGAGTGGTACAGGAGGAAATAGCTGTGGGGGATGGAGTGGTGGGAAGAGCGGAGGAGATGGGCAATTAGGTGAGGGCGGGGTAGGCTTCCCTGAAGAGGTGGGTTTTCAGGGTGTGCCTAAAGGTGAGAAGGGTAGGTGACAGTCTGATGGATTGGGGTAGTGAGTTCCAGAGGATGGGGGAAGCCCTGGAGAAGTCCTGGAGACGGGCATGGGAGTAGGAGACCAGGGAACTAGAGAGTAGGAGGTCTTGTGAGGAGCGGAGAGTGCGTTTTGGGTGGTAGATGGATATCAGGTCGGTGATGTAGTTTGGGGCAGTGTTATGAACAGCTTTATACATCAGTGTTAATAATTTGAATTTTTTGTGTTGGGCAATCGGAAGCCAGTGGAGGGATTGGCAGAGGGGGTGGCGGATACGGAGCGGTTGGTAAGGTGGATGAGTCTGGCTGCAGAATTCAGGATAGACTGAAGCGGGGATAGCCTGTGTTGGGGTAGGCCGGTGAGGAGGGAGTTACAGTAGTCAAGTTGTGATATAATAAGGGAGTGCATGAGTTGCTTTGTAGTTCCTGGAGTTTGGAACATGCGTACTTTATAGTTATAAATACAGTTACATAGTTACAGTCTGGCTGAAAAAAGACAAAAGTCAATCCAGTTAAACCATTAAAAAAAAAGTTATAATCCTATACCCACAGTTGATCCAGAGGAAAAACCCCAGAAAAGCACAATCCACGAGGCAATCGGATATTCCCTGGATCAACTTTACCTATAAATGTTAGTATCCAGGTATATTCTGTGAATCCAAGAAATAATCCAGGACTTTTTTTAAAGCAATCCACTGAGCTGGCCAGAACCAACTCTTGAGGGAGTCTATTCCACATTTTCACAGCTTTCACTGGGAAGAAACCTTTCCGTATTTTGCTCTATTTCAAATTTCAGTGTTTTTGGTTTGATTTATATTATTGAATTAAATGTATTATTATATTATTATTTTTATGATTATTTATTAAATTATAATTTATTATTTCGTGTTTCAAATTTTATCATACCCAGGATGTTTACTAGACTCTTGTTTGGACAGATTTCAGTGAGGTATTCCTAAAAAATTACAGGCCTACAATAAAAAAAACAACATATTTCCATGCAAAAAAATGTACCGCTTTGAGCACAGAAATACTGACAATCAGACTGCTAGGGAGGCTACAAATTCTTTACTCAATGAGACCAAAAGTAACATATTGTCACTTTGAGTCATCAGATAAGCTCCAAGGATCAGGCCCTCCTATCCCTCTTGTATTAAACCAGTGGTTCTCAACCTTCCTAATGCCATGACCCTTTAATACAGTTCCTCATGTTGTGGTGACCCCCAACCAAAAATTATTTACCCATTAATTATAATTCATGAGTGTCGTTTTACCTCCAATACTGCTGCTTTCAACACAGTAGCTTCTTTCAACACAGTAGCTGCTTTCTACACAGTAGCTGCTCTTTACACATTGGAAATTTGTGTTTTCCGATGGTCTTAGGCGACCCCTGTGAAAGGGTTGTTCGACCCCCAAAAGGGTCGCGACCCACAGGTTGAGAACCACTGTATTAAACAGTATTGTTGCTGTATTGTCTCCCGTTATATTGTAAAGCTCTGAGCAAACTGTTGGCGCCATATAAATCCTGTATAATAATAATAATCAGATTGATTTGTGCACTGTTAGCAAACACTGCACTGATACCATGCAATAAATAACATATTAATAAAAGCCTATGTAAAGTTTATTGTAAATGTAATCAACATTTTTATTTTCTTCCCCCAGGATATGATTGATGACATGTGGGATGAGCTGGAAAACAAAGACCAATGGGCTGCATTTCAGAACCAACAAGCCACCCAGATGCAGGCTTTCTGTTAACCGCAATTTCCTTTCAGATTCAAGTTATGGACTTTCATCTATCTTGTGCATATGTAAATACAAAATATTTTATATTTGTCTAATTCAGATATTTATTGCTTATACTTCATATTTCCTAATTATTTATTGATATATACAGTATATAAATAATGTAATATATTGTTCCATTTTACCATATCATTGTTGAAAAAAAATGTATTACAAATAGTCGTCTTATTATTTGGGGGATATTCTTGTATTAAACAACTCTACTTGCAAGTCCATCGGCAGTTAACACTACAATGTGGTCATTGGCAGTTTCATTGCCAAATTACATGCCCTCATGCACACGGGACGTTTTTACAGCGGCTGTTTTGGGCGTTTGAGGTTTTTTTCTACAGCCAGTAACCCCCAGCATGTTCTGCAATGTGTCCATACACACATAGGCTGGAATCAACGTTTTTTGGCTGGAAAAAAAAAAAACCCAGGACTAGTGGGTTTCTAGAGAAATTTTTTAGCTGTAAAAATGCTCTAACACTAAAAAAAAAGCGGTAAAACGCCCCAAACCAGCATTTTTGGACTTTTTTTGACCAACAAAAAAAATTTTTTTGTTAAAAAAAAAATGCTAAAAACTGCAAACACGGGAAAACGCTGCTAATCGCAGCCAAACGCTAATGCAAAAATGCTAATGCAAAAATGCTAAAAAAAATCTGAAAAACTCCCATTTTTTAACGTGACTTTACAGTACACAGCTAACTTTACCAGCGTATCAAAACGTCCCGCGTGCATGGGGGCTTTCAGATAGTAGCACAGGATGCTTCCGATTGGTTTCTGTGATGTCATGCATTTCTTTGAAGTAAATGACTGGAAACATAAGGGGAAGTGTTGGCTCATTATTGATGGCTACATTGTAAATATTTTTTTATATATCACAACATTGATCACACTTAAAATAAATCTACTTTTCATAAATTCTGACTGCTGTGCATTACTTCTTATTTAATTAAATAGTTAGTCTGGATGAAAAAAGACAAAAGTCCATCCAGTTCAACCATAAAAAAAAAAAAAAAAAAGTTATAATCCTTATAATACTTACACCAGCAGTTCCCAAACTGCAGCCCGGAGGCCAGTTGTGGCCCTTTGGGGCACTATTCCTCCCACTGATATAAAGCACTATTCTTACCACTGACACCAACGACGGGACGCTATTCCTTCCACTGACCATAACAAAAGGTGAGTATTCCTTTTAACGACATCAGTATCTCCTTCCACTTCTAAAAACGATGGAACAGTGTTCTTCCCACTGACACCAATAATAGGACACTATTCCTCCCACTGACACCATTAATAGGACACTATTCCTCCCACTGACACCAATATAGGACACTATTCCTTCCACTGACACCAATAATAGGACACTATTCCTTCCACTGACACCAATAATAGGACACTATTCCTCCCACTGACACCATTAATAGGACACTATTTCTCCCACTGACATTAATATTAGGACACTATTCCTCCCACTGACACCAATGATAGGACACTATTCCTCCCACTGACACCATTAATAGGACACTATTCCTCCCACTGACACCAATGATGGGGCACTATTCCTCCCACTGACACCAATAATAGGACACTACTGACACTATTAATAGGACACTATTCCTCCCACTGACACCAATATTAGGACACTATTCCTCCCACTGACACCAATAATAGGACACTATTCCTCCCACTGATACCAATAATAGGACACTATTCCTCCCACTGACACCAATAATAGGACACTATTCCTCCCACTGACACCAATGACGAGGCATTATTCTTCCCACTGACACCAATAATAAGACACTATTCCTCCCACTGACACCAATGATTGAGCATTACTCCTCCCTCTGACTCCAATAATAGAACACTATTCCTCCCACTGACACCAACGATGGGGCACTATTCCTTCCACTGACCCTACCAAAAGGTGAGTATTCCTTTTAACGACATCAACAATATGGCATATTTCCTTTCACTTATACGATGGAACAGTGTTCTTCCCACTGACACCAATAATAGGACACTATTCCTCTCACTGACACCAATAATAGGACACTATTCCTCCCACTGACACCAATCACGGGGCATTATTTCTCCCACTGACACCAATAATAGAACACTATTCCTCCCACTGACACCTATAATAGGACACTATTCCTCCCACTGACACCAGTGATGGGGTAATATTCCTCCCACTAATACCAACAATGGGGTGCTATGTAATTTTTGTTTACATCCACTGACCTCTAAGCCTAAGACACTGTTTACTCCCGCTGACACTGGGGTATTTTCTTCTCTGACTGGCCACACTCCAGCCCTCCCAAAGTGTGAAGAACAGTAAACGGGCCCTTTGTTTAGAAAGTTTGGTGATCCCTGACTTACACCATTGGTTGTAATAATAACCAGGGGCGGACCGAACATTCGAGCACTCGGGTACTGCCCGAGTGTCCGGGGTCAGTAGAAGGGCCCCATGGGATGCCCCTGGTACCTTTCATTGGCTTTTTCATAGGCTTTTTTGGGTGTGGGTGAGGACACAGGGGCCCCATGATCCCCTATTACCCGGGGGCCCCATGAGTTGTCAGTCCACCCCTGAATATAACCTTAACAAAACGCCCGCCTTGAATTGGTATTCTATTCAGAAGTTATTGATTGCTTTTAAATGTAGCAGCACAAAGGTAATGGAATGTTCTCTGTCACCTCGATTTAGCGAGTAGA